CAGCCATGACCCTGATGCTATCTCCTTAGATAGATGCAAGCAGCCTCTGGCTTGCTCATGGGAGGGAGCTGGGCCATGAAAACCAGAGGCTGTTTTCCTGTTTCCCCCTCGAATTAGCTCTGTGTTCTACAAAGGCACAGAGCTTCGATTTGCATTTACCTTCCTTTTCCCACCTATTTCCACCGTGATTCAGGCTCCTGCTGGATCTTGCTCTCTCCTTTGCCCTCCCCCTAGCTTTCTGGGAGGGTTTGTCTTCCGGCGAGCTTCTAGAAAGCTCCAGGATAAGGGAAGAGGCCCAGCCTTTCCAGATGGAGAGCAAGTAGGAGCCAAACTGGCTGGAGGCCTGACAGGCTGGATTGATAACAAGGCCGAGTCTCTGAGGTAGCTCAGCCAGGAGAACGTTGGCCAGTTGACCCCAGAGATGGGGGCTGCTGCAGCTGAGAGCTTCGCCAGAGGCATGTAGCACACAGGAGGGGAAGAGCCTCGCGTTGAGAATCACGCACACGCATTTATTATACACATACTCACGTAGGCATACAAGAATAAATAGAAAGGGAAACTGAGGCCCAGAGGGAAAGAGGAAGTTAGCAGCTTGTCTTCATGTGGGCTTCTGCCATAAGCCGCTCCATTTCAGGTCTCCATCCAGCTGGCTGGTTGACAAGCAGAGCCACTTAAAATACCTGTCCCGAGCCTGTTGGCTTAGCCTGTCTCTAAGGATTGCAATAAATCCCTCCTTTAGCTATGTTTCTGTGATAAGCAGCACGTAGGTTTTAAGCCCACAAGAGCATCTGATCTAACCATCAGTGCCTGCACACGTGGAAGGAAGGTGGGGCGGGTGTGGGGCACCCCCAGGCTCACTAGGAAGCCTGAGCCAGGAGGCAGGGTAAAAAGCCCCACTGAACATCCTGGACATTTTTTAGTTTGTTTTATTTTATAATAATGTCTATTTTCCTGGGTATAAAAGTGAATATATATCCAAGGTATTAAAGTTTAATATTATTAAAGAATAACAAATAAAGAAAAAAGTTCCCTACCATCCTATTACCCAGAGATATTAGGTTTAGCTGCATGTGGTGGCCATTTTTGTAGGTCAGATTGGCTGAATATCAGCCATTTCATATGGTTCAACCTAATCTATTGGCATATTTCCTTCCAAACACTTTCTTTCCCTTTAAATTTATGTCTTTGAGACCATGACATATACACGTTTATGCCCAACTTTTGTTCTTCATAAAACATTATAATGTCAGCATTTTCCCCGAGTAATGAAAAACTTCCTGGGAGCAGTCTTTTTTTTTTTTTTTTTTTAAAGATTTTATTTATTTATTTGACATAGAGACACAGCGAGAGAGGAAACAAGCAGGGGGAGTGGGAGAAGGAGAAGCAGGCTTCCCACTGAGTAGGGAGCCCGATGCGGGGCTCGATCCCAGGACCCTGGGACCATGACCTGAGCCGAAGGCAGACGCTTAACGACTGAGCCACCCAGGTGCCCCCTGGGAGCAGTCTTTTTAATGGTTACATAATATTTCATCCTTTGGGGACCATCAAGGTCATTTCCAGTTCCAGGTTGAGCTGTTCTAGCTCTGGTGCCCCAGGCCTGAGGAAAGAAAGAGCCTTGTTTCTGGCGCTGTGTTGGCCAGGGAACAGGCCGGGATCAGGTCCCAGCAGAACTGGGGAGGGAGCTCTGGTGACAGGCAGCCGGAAGGCAGCTGGCCCTTGTCTCTCTGGGGGACATGTGCTGAGTGCAGACAGAGGCTGGGTAGTGGAAAAGTTTGCCCCCGAGAGGGGAGTGGGGAAGTGCAGAGTGGGGAGAGGGGTACGCTACTGCCAGGGACCAAAATAGGATTCTGGAGGAGAGTCAGATTCCAGCAAAAGGCTTCTCTTGCCCAGAAAGGATTATTTTAAGTGCTCAGGTATTGATTTCAGCAACTGACACATCTACAATTTCTGTGTTAACTGAGCTGGGTCAGCCTGAGAAGCCAGCTTTCTTCCCAAAGTGCTCTCTCCACCTTAGGCTCCCCCATGGTCAGTGCAGGGTCAGGCGAAGCCCTTTGAGTGAGACAGAGATTGTCACCCTTTACCATGCTTCCTGTGAGGTCTGTGCACCCACCTGGTTTCCTAGCAGAAGCGAGAGGATGACACAGAGGGAGGGAGGGAAAGAGAGAGAGGGAGGGGGAGAAAGGGAGAGAGAGGAGGGGGAGGTGATAAGGGACCCTTTCTAGTGTTGATTGGTGCAAGGGCTGACATTGGCTGTCAGTCAGTAGAAAAGTCACTAGCCTTTTTGAGCCTCACTTTTCACATATATAAAATGGGAATAGGGGTGCCTGGGTGGCTCAGTCGTTAAGCGTCTGCCTTCGGCTCAGGTCATGGTCCCAGGGTCCCGGGATCGAGCCCTGCATCGGGGTCCCTGCTCCGCGGGAAGCCTGCTTCTCCCTCTCCCACTCCCCCTGCTTGTGTTCCTTCTCTCGCTGTCTCTCTGTCAAATAAATAAATAAAATCTTTAAAAATAAATAAATAAATAAATAAAATGGGAATAATATTCCTTACCACATAGGGCTGTTGTGAGGCTTAAATAGGTTTTCCGTATTCAAACTCCTAGTACAGTACCTGGCCCATAGTGGGCTCTCTGTCACATAATATTGCTGTTTTATTACCTCCCTCCCCCATCCCTCCTTTTAAACTCCCTGACTGTGGGAAGAGAATGTCTATGATAATTAAAATGTTAGCACTTATTGAGTATTTACTATTCATACTATGTGCAAGGCACTTTTCTAAGCACTGAGGATACAGGAAGGGAAGCCCTTGTGGAGTATACATTTGTAGTAAACAGTTAATATAAGCAAATAGACAATAAGTGTACAATATTTCAAGTGGAGATACGTACTATGAAGAAAAAATGTAGCAGGGCAAGCGGGGAGGGAGGGGCAGTGAAGGGGAGGGAGGGGCAGAGCAGGGAGGGAGGGGCAGTAAGCAGGGAGGGGCAGTGAGTGGGAAGGGTGGGGCAGTGAGCACGGAGGGAGGGGCAGTAAGGGGGAGGGAGGCAATGAGTGCTCTGTACAGGGCACATGAGCTAGCCATTATTTGAACATTAAATATCATACAATTATTGTTTAATAAAGCACTTTTGGACCCGATGAGGAAACCTCCAAGCACTAGGAAGGATGACAATTCTCTTATTTTGGAGGTGAGAGCTGGAAAGCGGGGTGGGAAGCCGAGGCTCCCCTTCAGCTTCCGCACTGCCCCAAGCTTTGTCAGCAGTGGAGAGGGAAGATGGGTGTTGGGCAAGGAATTTCCATAACCCCAGGCACAGGCTCAGCATATTAACTCAATCCCTTCGGGCCTGACCTGTCAGGTTAATCAGTTCCGCAGACACTGCCCATTCTAAGACGTCAGTCTTATTGGCTTATCACCTTCCCTGGACAGGGCGGAGGTTCAGGAGCTAGAAGGCCTTGGAGAAGCGGAAGCTTTTCCCTGGTTCTGGTGAGTGGAGGCCGTAGGGGAAAGCAGAGGCATGCCGTATTTGGAGATACAGTTGTCCCCACCCAGAAGGAACAGCAGGCCAGTGAGGTTCTTGTCCAAGCTTCTACTTGTGGGTGAATATGGAGCCCTCTGTTCAGGGTACAAGATCTGGTACCATGGTAACTTAGAGAAAACAGAATTTATTTGTGTTGCATGGGGGAGCTGAAGCAAGGTCATGCTGTCTCTGCGGGGTATGTGTGTGCGCGCACACATATAAACTGATAGAACAAGGGCCATGTACTCTGGCCCTGTTCTTTTGCTTGGTGATCTCTGCCTGCTGTGGAGCCCCTGGGATTCAGTTCTGTCTCTTGTCTCACTCCAGGGCATGGGCAGGCCAGGGAAGGTGTGGTTTTGTGGGGAGCTCCCCAGTGAAGTTGTTTCCTTTTTGGCCGCCCACTCTGACCTCGATCTTCGATCTTCGTGCGGGGACTCTTGCTCTCAGCCCCAGGGCGGCAGATTTCCTCTGTCCTGTGCATTCCTGGCGTTGGGACCACCTAACCACAAAGCTTCATTTGGTTGGGGACCCTCAGATTCTTTCCTGTGGGTAGGAAATGCCACACCTGGGAAGCATCCTTAAGTCCCAGACATCGGTGCTGGAAGGCCTTTGAGATCATCCAAATGTTACTGTAATGTTGGCTCCCTAAGGGCAGGGTCTTTATTTTGTTCACTGCTATAACTCCAGAGCCCAGAGCAGGGTCTAGCCCATAGTGCACACTCAATAAATACTTGTTGAATGTGTGGAATGAATTCTATTTCAGCCTCCACTCAATCTACAGAGGAGAAAACTGAGCCTAGAAAATGGGGTAACACAGAGCTAGGACCAGAACCCCAGATTCCCTTGTCCTTTTTTTTTCTGTGCCCCCTCTCCTTGATGCTCAGAAACTCTCTAACCTGTACCTAGCACATAGGAGAGGCTAAATTAAAGTGAGTTCCTCATCTTTTCTTCTTTTTGTTCTTGATATTCTTTTCAGGTTTCTCTCTCTTTTTTAAAGATATTTATTTATTTATTTGGAGGGTGCGAGCAGGCACGGGGAGGGGCAAGGAGGAGGGAGAGAGAGACTCCCAAGCAGACTCTGCTGAGTGTGGAGCCCGATGTGGGGCTTGATCTCACAACCCCGTGGTCACGACCTGAGCCGAAACCAAGAGTCAGACGCTTAACCGACTGAGCCACCCAGACACCCCTCCAATTTCTCTTTGAGGCAATGTTCTGTACCAACGTTTTTCTGCCACCTCACACCTCTTTCCTGGCAATAATGCCTCCTCACTATTCACTTATCTCTCTGTTAGGAGGAACACAAAAGAATTACATTCAAAGATGACCAATAGCCTTGTTTTAAGAGACTAATCCTTCCAAGGGTATTACTGAAACCAGTGGATCCTTGGGGGTAGGATTTTCACGGAGGGAATCTTCTAGGCTCTCAGGATGCAGGGGGAATCCTCTTTGGACCCCACCCACGAGGCTCTGTTGTCTTGTCCCACAGTGGCGGATGAAATGCTGCAAGTGTGATTCTAGGTTGCCTCACAATTATAATAGTCACCGCGTGGAGAATGTGGTTTCGTCCTCGGGCCCCATGCGTTGGTGGCAGTCACAGAATGGTAAGCTCTGGCCCCCTGCAGGGGCCTAAACTTGTGGGAGGTCCCACAGGGTGGGGGTTGGTTGGGGGGTGCCCGGGAGCCCTTTTGGGTGTCCCAGGCATTTCTTATGGTGGTGGGACATGTGTGGTTGACAGACGTTCTGCCTCTATGTTTGAGATCTCTCAGATGCTGTAGGTAGAAGAATTTGCTGGAAGTTAAGGAAAGGGTAAGAAATGCGAAGAATGCCTTTATTTCATCACACTTAGTTACAGTGAGCTCGTTGAAGGAATTGAGCTTGTAGAACAGACACATTGAAATCCTTTAGTGTGTTAGGATCATCAAGAGATGATGGGAAGGAAATTTGGCTAACGACAGATGGGCTCTTGAGTAGGAAATATAGGGAGAAGCATGTTGGTACCATTCGTCTCCAAGAGGGAAATCAGAGGATGGAGCTTAATGTTTCTGACTTTCCAGAGCTAGTAGAGTCCAGAGCCTTCTTCAGGGCTGGGAAGATAGAATTTCTCTGTTTTAAAGTTTCTACTTTTTGTCCTTCCAGATGTGAACCCTGTCTCTCTGCAGTTGGACCTGGACAGGAGGTTCCAACTTCAAGACATCATGATGGATTTTAAGGTATGCTTCCTGGAGATGGCAGTGGATAGGAGAGGGGGACTCTGAGCCTTGTGGGCTTGGGCTTATGGGGAGCACAGTGGCTTTGTCTCCCCAGGCTTGGGGTGATGGCACCACGTGGTAGGTGTGGTGACAAGGTGACACTTACCCTGAGTCTGTGTCATGATGACAGCAGAGGCCCACTCCTGGGAGCACAGTGGCACCTCCAGGCCCCCCCGTCCTGGCCATGCAGTCGTTGTATATCCGCTTCCTCCCTGTATCCCCCATCCTCAACCCATCTAATTAATTCAGCTCTGCCAAGTACCAGTTCCACTGGGTCTGGTCAGTTACTATACAGTTGTGTATTCTTGGTATGTTTAATAATTTTGCTGATGAGATTGAGTTTAGCAAACAGCCAATAATTGGCCCATCCTTATGAAAGATGTGCTTTGGGAGAAGCCCCCTTGGTGGGCCATGTACTCATTCACTGCTGTTACTTCTCAGAGTACTTTTGGATTCTGCTTTTAGACCAGCTTCCCAAGATATTCCTTTGGGAGGGAACATTTTTGTTCATTTGTCACAGGTCATTTTTTTTTTTTTTCAGAGAAGATTTGATTTTATTCTTTCTACAGAAATAGTCAAATATTTAAGGATCGAGCTTGGTTAAAAAGATTAGATGATCACGGAGGGTGATATCATTTTCAGGAGCTAAAATGAGCTGTGAATAAAAAGCAATAGGATCTAATTTCTTCCTTGACTCAGAAAGTTAGCTCTGAGATCCTCTCTTCAAGAAAAGGTCAAAAGTATTTTGAGAAATGGCAGTATCATTTGAATAAATGCCCAGTCTCTAAAGGTGACAACTTTGAAGGGCAACATTCATCTGGAAGGATATTGTTAGTTACATTGCTTGTTCATTACTCACTCATTCATTTACTTGTCCATTCTTGCTACACACATATTGAACACTGGTTGTGTGGTAGGTTTGGGGCCAGATGTTAGGGATAGAAAGAGGAATAAAGCTAAATCATGGTTCTCACATTGCTCTAGTATATGTCGGGAAGACAAAGGATTGATGGTGAGGAGGTATGACATGTGCTCTGATATTGATAGGAAATGGTGCTGGGAACACAGAGGGGTGTCCAACTTGGTCTGTCTTTGGGGTGTGAGTCACAGAATGCCCAGGAAAAGGTGAACCTTTTAGGCCACTAATAGCCAGGCAAAGGGCAAAGTTCATTCTTGGACAAAGAGAACCAACCATAAAGTGCAAAGGCCTGGAGGCAAGAGGCAAGAAGGTATGCAATTGGGGAGGGGCCAAGGGAATGCATATATAGGGTCTGGAGGGGAAAATGTGTATATGGTGGTGAGAAATAGGGATGTGGGAAGCTACAAGCTGGTGAGAGATGAGTTTACAGACATACATGAGGAGGAGGGAAGTAGACTAAAGCTTTATCCATTCATTCAACAAATGACTAAGTACCTCCTGTGTGCTAGACCTTGGGGGTGCCACTTGAACAAGACAGACCGGTGGGTGGTCCTACGGTTTACTGTAGTGGGTCTCAATTAGGGGATATTTGGCAATTTCTGGAGACTTCTATGTTGTCACAACTATGGGTATGCTGTTGACATCTCATATGTAAAAGGTCAGGGATGCTGCTAATCATCCTATGATGATCGGGACGGCCCACACAAGGAATGATCCAACTCCAGATATTAACAGAGCCAAAGGCTGGGAAACACTAGTCTAGAGGGAGAGGAATCAAAAGCAGCAAGCCAACAAATAAATGATTGGAAATTGTGGTGACATTTATGAAGGAAACAAACAAAGGGGTAGGATGGGCAGAGTGTGGGCAGAAGAATGTGTGCTGGGTAGGTATGAAAAATCTTGGGAGGAGGTGACATTTAAGCTGAGAACAAAAAAATGAGGAGCCCACCAGGGGGAAGAACATTCCAGGCAGAGGAAACAACCTGAACGAAGGCTCTGTGGAGGGAATGAGCATGGTGCAGCTGAGGGCTTGCTTGGAAAGATGGAGGTGCACAGGACACGAGGTGAGCTGAGGAGACAGGCCCACATAGCGCAGGACGTGGTCAGGAGTTCAGACTTACTCAAGAAGAGCAGGCAGAGGACTTGAATAGACATCTCTCCCAAGAAGACATACAGATGGCCAGCAGGCCAATGAAAAGATGTTCAACACCATTAATCATCAGAAAAATGCAAATCAAAACTGCACGGATATATCGCCTCATTCTTGTTAGAACGGCTATGATCCAAAAGACATGATGTACATGTTGGTGAGGATGTGGGTAAAAAGGACCCCTCGTGTGCTGTTGGTGGGAATGTAAATTGGTGCAGCCACCAATGAAAATAATACGGAGGTTCCTCCACAAACTAAAAATAGAGCTGCCTCATGATCCGACAATTCCACCTGGGTATATATCAGAAGGAAATGAAATCCGTGTCTCGAGGAGATATCTGTACCCTCATGTTCATTGCAGCATTATTCACAATAGCCCGAGACATGAAAACAAGCTAAGTGTTCATCAGCAGATGAACGGACAAGGAAAATGTAATCCCTATCCATATATCTATACACAATGGGATTTTCAGCTATAAAAAAGAAGGAAATCCTGGCTTTTGTGACAACATAGGTGGACTTTGAGGGTATTCTGCTAAGTGAAATAAGTCAGACAAAGACAAACAGCAGGTGTTCTCACTTATGTGTGGGATCTTAAAGAGCTGAACCTATACAAATAGACTAGAATGGTGGTTGCCCGGGGCTGGGGGCAGGGGTGGGGGGTGGGGAGATGTTGGTCAAAGGGCCAACGAACTTCCAGCTATAAGATGAGTAAGTTCTAGAAATCTAATGTATAGCATGGTGACTGTACTGAACACGGTATTACATACCTGAAAGTGGTTAAGAGTATAAATCTGACATGTTACCACCACACACAAAAAATGCGAATTATGGGAGGGGATGGATGCGTAACTATTACAATAATCATTTTGCGGTATCTACATGTGTCAAATCGTCCCATTTTACATTTACACTTATATATATGTCAATACAATCTCAATAAAGCTGGAAAAGAAAGAATAGTGGAAAGCTATTCTAGGGTTTTTCGCAGAGGGGTGACACGGTCCATTTTGTGTGTGGCGGTGGGCGTCAACAAGGCGAGAGTGAACAACAGGGAAATCAGGTGGCGCCTACTAGAGAGGTGAGGGCGATGGGCACTGAAGCTGGAGCCAGGGCCTGGTGTGGGATCTGTTTGGAGACTGGGTTTCCGAACCTATAGTTTGAGGAAGTGGTCCAAGCTGGGAGCCGTCAGCATAAAGACAGCATTGAGAGCCCCGAGACATGGGTGAACCCACCGAGGGAGGAAGGACACAGTGCACCACGCTGAGAGGCTTGCACTTCATCTTTAGCTAATGCCGACCCGTAGAGGGAGCTGGAGCAGGAGTGACGTGCAGTCAGGTAGTCATCTAGGAAGACCTCTCCAGTGAAGGGGGGAGAGAGGCTTGGAGGGCCTGGACATGTGGCTGCGGGATAATTTTCTGGCCTGACCACCTGGGTGGTGGGCTGAGCTAGGGATCACATTCTTCTAGAATGTAGATCACCTTTCTCTTGGCTTCCACAGTTCCCCTAGGGAAAATCTGATGGGGTCAGTGTACATCAGGAGAGTTGGACCCGGACGCCCCGAAGCCCACTTGCTCACTCTCGTGCCCCTTCTCCCTCCCTCACTGTGATTCTTTCAGAGGAACCACCCGTGCATCTTTGGGAGCCTATTTTGGTGATTGTGTGTCTCTGGTGACCCCTTCCCATCAGTCCGCAGGGCCCCCACCCTACCTGTGTCTCCGCAGGGGCCCATGCCCGCTGGGATGCTGATTGAGCGCTCCTCGGACTTCGGCAACACTTGGCATGTGTACCAGTACCTGGCTGCTGACTGCACCTCCGCCTTCCCCCACGTCCACCAGGGCCAGCCTCAAAGCTGGCAGGATGTTCGGTGCCAGTCCCTGCCCCACAGGCCCAACGGGCGCCTGGATGGGGGGAAGGTAGGTAGAGGGGACTCTGAAAAACAGGCACGGGGCTGTCGGGGGAGGCCCCTGACATCACGTTGCTCGCACAGTCCCCCAGCCTCTGCAGACGAGATGGCCCCTCGGTGCGCCTTGCTGTCTTTCCTGCTCCCTAGCTGCTCTCAGAATATTTGCTGTTTGTCCCCTTTGCTACTCAGGAGGAATATTTCAAAAACATGTTGAAGGCACTGCATAACCCAGCCTTGCCCTCTTCCTTAGCCAACCCCCGCTCCTTGGTAGGTCCCCATCGTGGAAAGGGCAAACTCCACTCTTCTTCCGTGCAAGGACTTTGAGATGGTTAGTTTAGATTCAAGTGAGCAAATTACACAAATTGAATTCAATCTCTGATTTCACCTCGATAGGGTAGAACACAAGGATGAGCTTTCTCAGTTTAATCCCTCCATCTGGCCCTTGGGGAAATTCAGGTACAAGCCACAGGTCCAAGTCACCGGAACTTAAACCCCGAGTGAGAAACAGAGAACCTGCCTCTAGAAACAGCTCAGAATTCTCTCCCTGACTCCTTCCACCTGGGGTAGGATTCTCGTATTTCTTTCGTGACTGCCTTTCCCTTCCCCGCCGCTTGAGGGTGGCTTCGGGTTCTGACCTCCCTTCTTTGGCTCAGGCTCCCTCCGAGCGGCTCCCCTAGGCACCCAGTGTGCAGCGCGCTGCCCTCCCTGTGGACGGTGCCTCTTTCCTTCGCAGGAACAAGTCCTCCTGGGTTACAGCCCAACCCACACCCATGTTAATTAACCACATTCCCTAGATTCCAGATCAGAGCACTGGACTTTTTCCTGATTCATGGAGGTCTGTCATGAAAACTCTGGAGTCCCATAGAATGAGTTGTTTTTATGAAAAAGGAAAAGCACTGTGGAAATGGGGGTTGTCTAGATGATGGTGGTGACCACATCCATGAATCCTTGGGTCCTGGACCTTCTCATTCATCCAAGGTGTTTGGAAAATTAGTATCCCCTAAACCCTCATGTGTACATTATACATCTTACCATTATTTTTGACCCAAGGAAATCAGGAAATTCTTGGGATATCTGTATTTTCAAGTGGAGAGAAGCTGTCTACACACACACACACACACATTTAGGGCCCAGTGATCATCTCACTCCCTCAGGGTTGTTGGTAGGCCTCACATCTATGGTCTACTCAGGGTTCCAGGTGAGAAGGACCTTTGAGCAGTGTGACAGGGATGGAGCATTGGTGGGAAGGGAGACTTCCTCTGAGCTTGGGGTGCCCCATTTACCTCTTCCCCAGGCCTTTCCTCCCCCCTTTCTCCATAGGTTCAACTTAACATTATGGATTTAGCATCTGGGATTCCAGCCACTCAAAGTAAAAAAATTCAAGGTCAGTGTGGTTACTCCTCTTGCTTGTGGTGGAACTATGGCGGGGGCGGGGGGAGGGTGGGCAAAACTTAGAACTTGGGACTTGAAGTGGTTGGTTGGTTGGAACTTGGATCACAGAAATTCCCTGGTCTTTCGTATTTCTGTCCACATGGTTGGATTTAATATTCACCCTGCTTATTCCATCGGGCTGGGTGGTAGACTCAGGAGGCCTGAGGCGGAGTGCAGGGGTCTTTCCTGCCTTGGAAGGGTTGAACGCTGAGGAGGATGCCTCCTGATATAACCAACCTTATGAAGGCAGGGAAGATGGGGCGGTGAGATCAGAATTCCTTTGCTTATTCATCCTGCCCTAGGAGACTCGATTTGCATTTAACTTCCTTTTTTTACTTTCCCTTCCCCAACCCCCTCCCCCTTTGTTGTTTGCCCCCCTCTCAGAGCTGGGGGAGATCACAAACTTGAGAGTCAACTTCACCAGGCTGGCCCCTGTGCCCCAGAGAGGCTACTACCCCCCCAGTGCCTACTACGCAGTGTCCCAGCTGCGTCTGCCAGGCAGCTGCTTCTGCCACGGCCACGCCGACCGCTGCGCCCCTCAGCCCGGAGCCTCCGCCGGCCCCTCCGCCGCCGTGCAGGTGACAGCCCCGGGTGGGAGGGGCTGAGGGGAGAGAGCAAGACCAAAGCAGACTTAGGACATTCTTAGGGCTCCTATAAAACAAGGGAGGGCACTCAATTTCAGAAGTGGGTCTTTAACATTTTAGCGACGGTGGAAAAGAGTCTAAGTGATGATTCCTTCAAAGATCAGAATTCTGTAGCACTTCCTTAAGCCTGCCTTCTGGTTTATGACGGCTTGATTTTCAGTCACCTGTAAGCACATCTGTGGGTGCTGTGGGGAGCTTAAAGCGATGCTGCCCAATCCTGGCTACATGTAATAATTTCCTGGGGAGCTAAAAGAAAAAAAAAAAGTGCCCAGACCTCCGTCCTCAGATATTCCAGTTTTATTATTGGATTTTAAAGCTTCCAGGGGATTCTCAGCACTGCCAGGGTGGAGAGGCACTGGTTTGGGCACTCTAGAGTCCCATCTAGTGGCGAGATCGGGGGAGGGTGAGAGAACAGAGTCCCACATCCTGCTAAGTCTACCCAGGAGCAGCTGAGTCAGATGCATCAGGGAATGGTGGGGGGAAGCTCCAGCTTTTCACATCTCCAGATGCGAGAACCATCAGTAGAGGAGAGAGAACCCTGGGCCCGGAGGCAGAAGAAGCTGTCATTTTGCTTTTCTAGGGCTTTGGTTCTTCTGTTAACATAGGGAGCTCATTTATCCTGGCGCTAGGGGGGCACAGGGCTAAAATGGCCTGTGAGGGAAACACAGGTGAAATGAGCCCTGGGCAGCTTCGTCCTTCCCATGGCTGGGCCAGGCCCTGCCCGGGGCTGCAGAGGAGGCCAGAGGGAGACCGGCTCCAGGAATATGTCATCTATTAGGGCCTGGAGATGAACGAACAGAACACAGGCCCAACAGGACCACTGACGGATGAGGAATACAATGTACTGGGGGCTGTAGAGAGGGAAAGGGCACGCCCAGTCCCAGGGGCTCTTGAATCTGGCCGCCCCCCCCCCCCCTCCAATCACCACTTTAAAAAGTACCAAAGTCTGGGCTTTGTCTCTGAGATTTGGATCGAATTGGGCCTGGCAATGGTATTTTTAAAAAAGCTTCCCACGTGACTCCAGAGTTGCATCCAGGATTGAGAGCCACGGAACTAGAGGAACCAGGGAGGCCCGGTGAAGAAGATGCCATTCTAACTGGCAGGATCTTACTGGTGAAGGGAGGAAGAAGGGAATTCCAGGCAGGTAGAAAAACATCAGTAAAGGCCAAGAGGTGGGAAAAACAGGGCTTGTGCAGGACACAGCTTGAGGTGCAGCCTGGCTGTGCTGTTCTGAGGGGGAAATGAAGATGGGGCAAACGCCGTCCAGGTCTTTGATGCCAGGCTGAGGGTGTTGGGCTTAATGCAGAAGACAGTGAGCACACAATAGCTATTCTGTTTTTATGTCTTAATGAGTCTAGTAACAGTTGCTCATAGCGGTCCCATTAGCCAAACAGCTGCAGTCAAAGATTATTGGAATATAAATCTCCAGAGGGCCCACAAAGTTCCGGAATCATAGTTTGCCAATAAGGGTGTCTGGGCACCTTCCAGGTGCTGCTTTGGACTGGGCATCAGGGGGATGTCCAAGGGCAAAGAATGAGCTTTTATTTATTTATTTATTTTTTTAACATGTATTTATTTGAGACAGAGTACACGCGCGCATGGGGGAAGGGGCAGAGGGTGAGGGAGAGAGAGTCGCGAGCAGACTCTGCATGGAGCGTGGAGCCCGATGTGGGGCTCCATCCCAAGACCCTGAGATCAGGACCTGAACTGAAACCAAGAGTCAGATGCTCAACTGACCGCGCCACCCAGGGGCCCCAGGATTGAGCTTTAAAAAGCCGCCTAGTTAGAGCAGAAGGGCAGGCACGTGCATGTGTGCGTGTACACGTACGCACACACCCACACCCCCACACCCACAATAGCACATAAGCAGGCAGCTGGGAGTGTCACTGGAGCTGAGTGAAGGCTGGAGGAGATGGGGTCTGAGTTGGACCCTGAGCAGTTTGGCGAGGGGGGAGGGGAGAGGGCAGGTCCATGGCTGGGACATTTCTTTGGTAATTATTCCTGATAACTGGTGGCCCCTTCCCAGGTCCATGATGTCTGCGTCTGTCAGCACAACACTGCTGGGCCCAACTGTGAACGCTGTGCACCCTTCTACAACGATCAGCCCTGGAGACCCGCAGATGACCAGGACCCCCACGAATGCCAGCGTAGGGTCCTGGACTCACCCGCTCCCCTGTAGTGGCTGGATGGGGTGCTGGCCTCTCTGGGCCTCAGTGATCTCACCTGGACACCGGGAGAATTTATTCTTTATTATTTAAATCTAATCTTGGTTGCACCCCGGTAATGTAAGCTCTCCTTACTTTGTGGGGATGGAGATAGTCTGGGTTACAGCCACCCTCTGCCTCCCCAGACCTTCTTCTCAGGCCCGAAGCGACCAAGGCTGGTCCATGCTACTGATGCCACATGGCCTTCGTGGTATCCCCAGGTCCTCTTTCTTCTGTCCCCTCCGCTTGCCTTGTCCTGTGTAGGACATATCTGGTTCCCTGCTTCAGAAGGCCCCCTGGAGTCAGGGTCTTTCTCTGCACAAGTGGGAGAAACAAGGGTCCCCAGCCCAGAGAGAGGCAGTGACCCAGCAGGAGATCCGTGGTGGCTACGGGGGAGGGTTGGGGTGGACCATTCCAAGGGCTCCCGTTTTGGCCCCACACAGATGTTATTCTTGGGTTAGTCCCCACATTGGGAGTTAAGGGGCCCGAGTTCTTACTCTAGTCTGCTTTCTTACTGACCGTATAACCTTAAGTGAGTTACACAAGGCTCCCTGGGCCTCAGTTTCCCCATTTCCTAGACCTGAGCATCTTGCAAAGTTGCAAGAGATGCCAGTGCATAAGCATGGAACGTGCTTTGTGGATGGAAGTGGGGCTGGTCTACGGTCAGCCCTGGGAATCTCCTTTTTCAGGGTGTGACTGCAATGGGCACTCAGAGACCTGTCACTTCGACCCAGCTGTGTTCGCCGCGAGCCAGGGGGCACACGGAGGCGTGTGTGACAACTGCCGGGACCACACGGAGGGCAGGAACTGTGAGCAGTGTCAGCTGCACTTTTTCCGCAACCAGCGTCCCGGCGCTCCCATTCAGGAGACCTGTATCCGTGAGTAGGGGCTCCAGGGACCCAGGGTGTCATCTGCCCACCACTCACTGGAGCATCTGTGTCCCTGGGGACACACAAGCCCTCAGGAAGCACGAAGCCTTGGTTGTTTGTCAGGACTTGTGGGCAGTTGTTTTAACTTAGCTGTGCACTGCTAAGCAAATCACTTAGCCTCTCTGGACCATCAGTCAATCAATCGATAATTATGTAGCCCTTGTTTTGGACATAGGAGAGACAAAAGTAAACATAAGAGACAGTTCCTGCTGTCAAGAAACAGACACCCTGTTTGGCAATGTAAATCATACTTGAAAAAGGCGGACTGAGCACTCCGTCCATGTATAGGTCATTGTCTTTACCATGTGGTAACGTGGTTTGCTCTGTATTTTTCTTTCCCCACCAATATTGAGAACTCCTCCATGGCAGGGCTTTTGTCCTATATCCTCAGGCCCTAGCGCCGTGACAGGCACATAGCTGATGCTGAAGAAATGTTTCCTGAAGGAACATATGCATGGAACAGCCAGGAATGACTTAGCATGTCCACAAGGCCAGTGTGTTCCGCACAGGAGAGAGCAGAGTGGACCGAAGCAGTCTGCATCAGGAGGGGTTAATCACGAAGGACTCTTTAGATGGAGGAAGAATCTGCATTTTGAAAGTCCTGCAAGAGGTCTGGGGGTGGGGGTGGGAGAAAGCTGGTTCACTTCCTGTCGCTATTATTTGGGTATGGAAAGAGTGAGAAGGACAAGTTGACTTCTGTTTCCCGCGGTTACTTGCTGTGTGACCTTAAGTGTGTTCCCACCTTTCGGGGTTGTCATGAGGACTACATCAGGCAACAGGCAAGCGTGCCCAGCTCAGGGCTTGGTGTATAGCAGTTGTTCAGGAAATAACGACCACAAAAGCCTTTAAAGTACTTAACATGGGCCAAACGCTGTTCTACCTACTTTTCATTTACTCATTTATTCCTCAGAGGGAATCTATGAGAGGTGTATCATTATACCCATTGTGCAGATGAGGGAACTGAGGCACAGAGGGGTTAAGTAACATGACCAAGGTTGTAAGGTTGGGAGCCAATAAGTGGCGGAATAAAGATCTGAACCAGGCAGTCTGGCTTCTACAATCTGCTCTTCACTTTCCACTTTTCCTCTTTGTATTCACTGTGGTGGCTGCTTTTGTCTCGCAGCCTGCGAGTGTGATCCCGATGGGGCAGTGCCAGGGGTTCCCTGCGACCCAGTGACTGGACAGTGCGTGTGCAAGGAGCATGTGCAGGGGGAGCGCTGTGACCTGTGCAAGCCAGGATTTACGGGACTCACCTATGCCAACCCGCAGGGCTGCCACCGTGAGTCGGGGGCCCCAGCGTGGGGAAGACGGTGTGGGCCCCCAGGCTCCTGACTTACCTCACGGGGCTGTGTGCTGGATGCCGTGCCCTGGGTGTCCAGCAGGTGGCAGCACAGGCCCGGGTTGGAAGGTGGCACTGAGTCAGCCAGAGGGAGGGAGGGTGGGCGGCCCAGCTGCCAGGTGCCAGGCAGGACAGCGCCGCCTCGTGAGTCAGCCAGGTTATCTGGAAAGAACGACCCTGCCTGGTTCTTTTCCCAGGCTGGCCCTCTCCCTGCTGTGTGTCCTCCAGGGGTGTGCTTTGGTTGTCTTGCTAGCTGAGTAACCCTCCCTCCTGCAGGCTGTGACTGCAGCATCCTGGGGTCTCGTCGGGACATGCCGTGCGATGAGGAGAGTGGGCAGTGCCTGTGTCTGCCCCACGTGGTGGGCCCCAAATGTGACCAGTGCGCTCCCTACCACTGGAAGCTGGCCAGTGGTCGGGGCTGTGAGCCCTGTGCCTGTGACCCTCAGAGTTCCCTCGGCCCCCAGTGCAACCAGGTACAAGAGGGGGTGGCCCCTGGGTCCCTCTGCGGAAAGTCCGCTGGCTCACCACCCTCTGTCTCCCTCCACGCTGCCCACAGACTGGGCTCCTCCTGTCCCCGTCCTCCTTGGGGACGCCACCAAATATCCCTCCCGGGGTGGCTCTGAGCCTTCTGCGGGGCCATTCGGGGCTTTGACTTCCGAGCCCGGCTCTGAATGGGAGCCCTTGTTTTGGGGGCACACCCGCTGTGCAGGCAGACCCAGGCCCCGACACCAGGTCACGGCCGGGCCGGGCCTGCGGGGGAGCTCCCTCACAGTGCTCTCCCCGACAGTTCACGGGGCAGTGCCCCTGCCGAGAAGGGTTTGGTGGCCTGACGTGCAGCGCCGCAGCCATACGCCAGTGTCCCGACCGGACGTACGGAGGTGCAGGCACGACATGCCGCGGTGGGTGCTTTGCCGAGTGGGGGGACGCCGAGGCACCGGGGGCGAGCGCGTGCAGGAGGGCCTGGGAGGGCCTGCGGTGTGGGAGGACGTCCCGTACTGGGACGTGGGGGGTGGGCCCCGGCAGCCCCGTGGAGCGCGAGTTCCCCGCACCTGCTCCAGCCAGCCCCCCGGCCCCCATGACCGGAGGGTGCTTCGCTCCCCGTGTCCCCGAGACGGCATTTCCCAGAAGCCATCTCCAGGCAGCGGCAGGGAGGGGAGGAGTTTCTTCCTAGCTGGAGAAAGTGAGTCCTGAGGGGGAAGGTGTGGTTTCCCCAGAGCCCGTTTGACAAGTAGCCGCAGAGCCTGGCACCTGGAGCGTGCAGACCGGGTCCCGGCTCAGCGTGGCCTCCGTCTCACCGAGTGGCTGGGGCCAGTAGCTGCCCCCAAGGCCTCGGTTTCCTGAGGGCACGTTGCACTTGATAATATCTCTGTGCCTGGTGCTTGTCTGCACGCGTGGGAAGATGAGCGTGGTTAACTCTGTCACAGAGAGACTGTGAGCGGGCGGGTGTCTAACCCGGGGCAGTGCCTGGCCCTGGCACACAGTAGGTGCTAACTAAGGGCTTGCCTTGGTTGCTGCCGTTCCCGTGATTTTACTCTGGCCTTGACTGTCTACTGTCCCAAGTCCTGTAGACGGGCCCTGAGGTCAGACCTGCCTCAGGCTCTCCCCACCACATGCCTTTAGCTTCCTGACCCCCAACCCTGACCGTCATCTTTACCCGCCTTAGCTTGTGACTGTGACTTCCGGGGGACGGAGGGCCCAGGCTGTGACAAGGCCTCGGGCCGCTGCCTCTGCCGCCCCGGCTTGACCGGACCCCGCTGCGACCAGTGCCAACGAGGTTACTGTGACCGCTACCCGGTGTGCGTGGCCTGCCACCCTTGCTTCCAGATCTATGATGCTGACCTCCGGGGGCAGGCCCTGCGCCTCAGCAGCCTCCGCAATGCCACCGCCGCCGGCCTGTGGCCTGGGCTGGGCCTGGAGGACCCTGGCCTCACCTCCCGGATCGCGGATGCCAAGAGCAAGATGGAGCAGATCCGAGCAATCCTTTCCCGTTCCCCGGTCACCGAGCAGGAGGTGTCCCAGGTGGCCAATGCCATTTTCTCCATCAGGTAAACTTCCCCTTCCCTGCCGGGTGCCAAGAAGAGTTCCCTCACGTGGGTTCACGTAAGTGGCACACGCGGGTCCTTCCGCTGGTACAGCCCTTTACAGTTTACAGAGCATTTTCACACGCGCTCTCTCTTTGAACTATCACAACAGTCCTGTGAGGTTGGTGTGTGGGTGTTATTACTTCCGTCTTGCAGGTGGGGAAACAGGCATAGATGGGTGATGTGACAGAGTCATGCGGCCACTGAGGAGCAGAACTGGGACTCAGCACAGGCAGGAGCCCCAGTGTTCTTTCAAGTGCCCGGCACTGCCCGTGGGAGAGAGTCAGCTCTGGATTAGTCACCCTGGTGCAGGGCATCCGAGAGGCAGGGGCTCTAAAAATAACTTGTATTTGCCTTTGGAATGGGAGCGGTCCCACCCACACCTCCTTCCTACCAGCAGAGGCACCTTCTTAGGAAGGTTTGGTTCTGGAAGTTTCTATAATTAGTTTGCATTCCCCAAGCACTAGCTGACTTTCGGTGCCCAGAGCCATCCAGGTATATGATTGACCTAAGTCTCAGAATTGAGTAGCAAGTCCATAGGTATTTCGTAGGCTGAAAAAGCAGGCATGGAAGGGTGCTCCATGGAAGGACGTCCCATGCCAGAGCAAAGCCTGTAGAGGAAGAATGCAGAGCTTGTGGGAGGGAGTTGGTGGCTGATAGACCAGCAAAGGGGGTGGGGAGAGAGGAAAGCTGAATGGTTGTGGGCCAGGGCTGGGGGATCCTGACCCCCTTTGGGTGGAGACGACCAGCGGGCTGTAGCTGTGGGTCCTCGTGGGGAGGTGTGGGCTGCAGAGGAGAGACTTCGGAGTCTGGCGAGCAGGTGGTACAGGTGGGAAAGCTGGTGTCAGCCTGCAGCGAGCCAAGGAGGAAGGGGTCAGGGTGACGCGCCTCATGGAAGCCCGCTCTGGGGAGGTGCAGCGGCTCAGGACTGTAGAGGCACACAAGTGGAGGAAGGAGCCATTTTTGCGATCTGCCTGCCGAGGGATGGAGGGAGCTTGCGCTGGTTCACTTAGCCTTTGTCCAGCAGAATCCTCCGCGGCCTGTGGAGTCTGCATTCTGCGGCCTTCGCTGAAGACCTCTCTCTTTCCTGCCTCACAGAGGCTTCTCCGAGGGGCTGGCAGGTTCTGGGGAGGCAGCCCCTCTCCCGTATTTTAGTGAAAGCTCTTCTCGCATCTCAGGCAGACTCTCCAGAGCCTGCAGCCTGATCTGCCCCCAGAGGAGGAGACCTTGTCCCTCTCGGAAGACCTCAAGAATCTGGACCGAAGCTTCAGTCACCTCCTCGTTATGTATCAGAGCAAGAAGGAGCAGTTTGAAAGGATAAGCGGTGCGAATCCTTCAGGTGAGGAGGGCTGCTCAGACAGCTGCACGCAAGGCCACGCCGCACCTTGGCTCCGCACCTGCTGCTCCTCCATCTCCAGGCCTCCCAGGCCGGGGCGGCTCACTGCCCTTCTGTCTCCCCGCAGGGGCCTTCCGGGTGCTGACTGCAGCCTTCCAGCGGTCCTCCCAGGCTGCTCAGCGGGTCTTCGACGGCTCCCGCATGCTCTTGCAGCTCAGGGACAGCCGGCGAGAGGCGGAGAGGCTGGAGGGCCAGCTGGGAGGAGGAGCCGGAGTTAGTGGGCCCCAGCTTGTGGCCCTGAGGCTGAACATGGCTTCCTTGCCTGATCTGACACCTACCATCAACAAGGTGACTCGTGGCATGGAACCCCGCTTCCTGGATCCCCCTGTTCCAGCTTGTCACCCACTGGCTGCTGCCGTGTTTCCTCCTAGGGCAGTGTGAACCCGCCCCGCTCCCCCCCTCCCCCCCATCCCGGTCTTTGGCCCCTCACGCTGTGCTCAGTGGTTGCCAAGGAAACAAGTTTCTGGTGCCTGGCTGCCATGGAGATGTCTGGCTGTTTGTTCCCTGGGTGTGGGGTGGGAGTGGTTGTTGAAGAGCCTTGGGTACCCTCTTTGACGTCTCCTCCTCTCCACAGCTCTGCGGGGGCTCCAGGCAGACGGCCTGTACCCCAGGAGCGTGCCCTGGAGAGCTGTGTCCCAGAGACAATGGCACGGCATGTGGCCCTCACTGCAGAGGTGCCCTCCCCAGGGCGGATGGGGCCTTCCGGATGGCGGGGCAGGTGGCCCAGCAGCTGCAGGGCTTCAATGCCCAGCTCCAGCAGACCCGGCAGATGGTAGGTGCAGCCAAGGGGGGTGGGCGCACGTAGGGAAAGGCTAAGGGCATAGACCCCCCAGGGCAAGTCAGTGTCTGTTTTACAAGTCAGGAGACAAAAGCCCAGAAAGGTGAAGTGACTTGTCTGAGGCGCCACAGCCAGTGAGAGGTCGAGTGTGGGGCCAGTGTTTTGGGCTTTTTCACCTGACTCCACATCATTTCTTCCAGAGCCAAACCAGGTTAGCTACCGATGTTTCCCAGGTAGATCGTGGGTAGCGGGTGTCCACTGAATCCCTGAGGGCTGCTGAGAGGCTCTCTTGGGGCCTTGACCACTGCTGACCTATACTGTGTGCTGGCAGATCAAGGCCGCTGAGGAAGCCGCCTCGAAGGTGCAGTCAGACGCTCAGCGCCTGGAGACCCAGGTGAGCGCCGGCCGCTCCCAGATGGAGGAGGATGTCAGGCGCATGAGGCTCCTCATCCAGCAGGTCCGGGACTTCCTGTCAGGTGAGCCTGGCCCTTACTCTCCTTTGGCCTGATATTTGGACTCCTGCCTGGCGCTCGACCCTCCATTCCCTCCATGGAGCTAGCTCCCTCCTCCCCTCGCCTCCGGGCCACCGGGGCCAGGTGCCCACCGCTCACCTGGGTGGCTGCCACAGCCCTCTCTGGCCGCCCTGGGAGTAGAAAGATCCCTGGACAGGACTCGGGAAACCTGTGACTTCGGGCAGGTTGCTTTTCTCTTTGCCTCATGTTTCGCTTCTGCAAACCGGGATGGTAGTATTTCACGTTCCTCCCGGGGACCTAGTAACTGATGTAAAGTAAGGGCTTGGTGTGACCACAGGGCTCTTCTTGCTACTCCTGCGGGGCCTTTGCTCCCCACAGGTCCCAGCCCCGTCCTGAGTGTGGAGAGCAGGTTGGAGAGAGGCGGGGAGGATCTGCTGGCAGCCGTGGCTTGCCTGAGGCCAGGCTGGAGTCAGCCTCCAGAGAGCCCCAGAGTGGGGGAGAGTGGTTGCAGGGAGATGGTGTTCCAGAAACAAGGACGAAGGGGCAGGACAAAGTTTGCGGCTTGGACTCGTGGATAAGGAAATCCTCCCCCAAGCAGAGCCTGTGAGGCTGAATGGCATCAGCCTTGACCAGGAGGTGGGAGGGAGGTTAGGAAGTCTCTGGGGTACAGCCTGGGCTCACGTGAACAGGCAGGGAGTCGCTGGGCCGGGGGCTCCTTTTTGTCCTCTAAATTATATGTGTGTCTCAGGTCAAGTCCTCTGATGGGACCAAGGGCCGGGAGAAGGAGCAGAGTCTGAGAGAGGCCTGACCCCTGCGAAGAGCCCACGACAGTTCTGGCAGTCTCCATGGCAGTGGGTTTTGGTCTCCAAAGTACTGTGCAGGGGGCACAGCACTAACTAGCTGCTGCTGTGTGCAGGGTCCTGGGGGTGGGGTGCGTGGGAGGCCCGTGGGGCAAGGAGGACACACGGGCTTTCCCAGGTCTTCACATGGAGTTCACAGAAATCACAGCTCAGGCTTGCTGAGTTCTCACCAAGTGCCTGGCACCGTTAAGCGCATCACAGGTATTTCGTGACTTAGTCCTGATTGCCCACCGCTTTGCAGAGGAGGGCTTCAGGCACAGGGAGGTTAAGTAACCTGCCTAAGGGGATCCAGCTTGGAGGGAATACGGGTAGGATTCTTCTCATTCTGTCGTCCACAGTCTAGATGATTGTACTATTAGATGGACACACACACACGGTTTTTGCTAATGCTTTTCGTCTCTCTGGATTGCTCCCCTGTCCCACCTCTCCAGACCTGGCTAAGTCCTGCTCCCCCTCTAAGAATCCTCTAGATGGCCCACTCTCCAGGAACCCTCCCCCTGCCCCCTCCTTCCGCCCCATCAGACTGGGTTAGGGCGCCCCTCCTGTGGCCATCTGAGCACCCTGTGCTCATCCTCCGCACTCAGGCTGGCCCTCCTTGGTTATGTGCCTGTCTGTCCCACCAGGTTTCGAGCTCTGTGAGGACAGGGACTGGATCCGCTTTGATTTGCAGTCTCAGTTCCCCATGTGCTGGCCCCAAGTCCCGGGGCAAGCCATCTGGGTGGGCGGGTGCCCCCTCCCCTCCCATGCCAGTCCCTGGGATCTGTAAAAGTGAAAGGGAGAGATAGGGAGGAGATGCCACCTCTGTGCTTCTGACCTTACTCTCTGACCGGAGTTGGCTTGTAAAATCCTTGCTGACTGGTTGTTTCGTTTCATCCCTTCAGGTTGAGGATCATTATCCATTTCACAGGTCTGGAAAGCGAGCTTAGAGAAGCCATTTGACTTGTCCCAGTTTGCTTGAAGAGTAGAGGGGAGGGCTGGGTCTGGAGATCTTTGAATCGTTCGTTCACTGTACAAACACCAAGTGCCTTGGAGGGCCAGGCACTGTGGCTGGGGCTGGGGGTATGGATGACACCCAGTCCCTGCCATCATAGGGCTTCTGGCTGGGTAACAGACAGAAAACAGACAGATCCATGAGTCACGGGTTCGGCACATGGGAGGTGATAAATGATAGGGAGAAGGAGGAGCAGAGAAGGAGAGTAAGGGGTGTTGGCTCAGGGGGAAATGTGCGATTCTAGATTGCGTGGCCACGGTTGGCCTCTCTGGAAAGGTGACATTGGAGCAAAGACCTGATGATCTCTCTCTGCCTTTGCGGAAACGAGCACGCTGGCCTGGGGAGGGGCGCGTGGAAGGGGTCTTCTTGCCAAGGAAGCAGTTCCAGTTCCTGGCCGCTCTCCCCGGCGTAGGGCTGATTATGTTTGTGCTGCAGGCATTGTTCAGTCCCAGCTGTCTGGCACCACCTCCTTCTCTCCAGCTTGCAGTTTCCTGTGGCCCCAGGCACTTAGCTGCCACAGCTGTGCCCACAATCGTCCTCCCGCAGCATTCCCGGAAGTTGTGCGAATGGGCACCTGAGTGTCCCCGCCAGGGTGCAGTGGCTTCTCGGGCGGGGGGCGGGGGGGCGGCAGAGATGCACGCGGGTGCTTCCCTGGAGCTGCTCAGCTCGGAGAAACCTCTGACCTTTGGGGAGGTGGTCTGATGGACGGCTGTCTTCCAGACTCTGACACTGATGCGGCCACCATCCAGGAGGTCAGCGAGGCCGTGCTGGCCCTGTGGCTGCCCACAGACTCGGCCACGGTGCTGCGGAAGATGAATGAGATCCAGGCCATTGCCGCCAGGCTACCCAGTGTGGACCTGGTGCTGTCTCAGACCAAGCAGGACATTGCTCGGGCTCAGAGGCTCCAGGCGGAGGCTGAGAAGGCCAGGTATGGCCTGGGGCCCTTAGCCCGCGCTTCTCCCTGCCCCGGGCTGGGCTGGTGTTTTGCTCCCCAACTCCTTTGGCTGCTGGCAGAAGGAAAAGAATCTGTACATGTCAGAGGGGTGCAGAGGGCTGGGGGACAGGAGGGGTGCTTACTGTAGTGGGGGGTGGTGAAGTGAGAAACAGTGTCCAGGGTGAACTTTCCTTAGCATGACCCTGTCTTCCATATGGGTGACACCAAAGGGTGTCTCAGACGTAACGCTCACACTCCTCGTGTCTGTTCGGTGGGGTCCCAGGATGGAAAAGCTATGTGTTAATACTCCCTTTTTAGGTCTTGGCTGGGAAGAATATTCTCTTGAACCGGTTGGTGAGTGGAGCCATGCATCTCTTCATTCACTGGTTGCTCATTCTTTCTTATCTCCCTTCCCCTCCCCCTGCTGCAGGAGCCTAGCCCACGCGGTGGAGGGCCAGGTGGAGGACGTGGTGGGGAACCTTCGGCAGGGCACGGTGGCTCTGCAGGAAGCCCAGGACACCATGCAAGGCACCAGCCGTTCCCTTCGGCTTATCCAGGAGAGGGTTGCTGAGGTGAGGTGGTGTGGCTTCCTTCTGCCGCATTTGGGAATGAACAGACAGATTCAGGCACAAGATATAGAAAATGCCAGAAAGTGACCTGGAAGGGGACCTAAAGAGGGAGGACTATGAGCTCTGGGCCCAGCTTTGAGCCCTTGGTTTTCTGGTTGCGTGGCTGGGTGCAGAAGGCCAGGGGTGGGCTCTGAGCTGCAGCAAGGGGGTGGGGGGCTTGGGGGGCAGATCAACTGAGCTGGAGAGAGGGGGGGCCTGGATGCCAGGGGACAGATAGATAGGGGACCAGCAGGGGGACAATAGTGGTGTCCTGCTTGGAGAGAGTTTTCGATGCCTGGTGACCTGGGCAGAAGGACGACGAGGTCCCTGCTTAGGAGACCCACCACCATAACCCAGGTCTCTTTCCCCACCAAGGTTCAGCAGGTCCTGGGGCCGGCGGAAGGACTGGCGGCTGGCATGGGCTTGCAGCTGGGTGACTTGCGGGCACGGATGGAGGAGCTCAGCCGCAGGGCCAGGCTGCAACAGGAGCAAGTGGCGAGGGCCCAGCAGCTCACAGAGGGTGCTAAGCAGCAGGCGCTGAGCACCCAGGAGGTGAGAGCAGGTGGAGGTCGTCCTGGGCAGCACCAGCCAGCATGAGGGTCCTGAGCAGGAGAGGACTCTACACTTTATGAGACCTTGGGCTCAAAAGCAATTGGAACATGTTATTCTAGAATCATCAGAAAGGGCTTCAGGACTCACCCTGACCTGGCCTGGCATCTGGACTTTACCTCGGGCCGCCTCTGGGGAGCTGGTTCAGGGGTGTTACAAATGATCTAGTCCAGTCCCTTTCTGTTTACAGATGGGGGGGTAACTTTGTCCAGGCCCAGAGCTTGCCTACAAAGCAGGTCCCTTGACATCCAATCCAGAACTTGTCCCCCGTCATGGCTACCCAGCCCAGAGAGGCAGTCTTGACTAAGCCTAACCTGGGCCCCATCGTTGTCAGAATTATGTCAGAGAGGCGATCAGAGAGCCATCCTCTGGGTCCCCAGTGTACCAGGAACTTTGGCATTCGTGGCCGGTCCCAGCACAGTGGCCAGGCTGCCAGGTATACTGCTAAGTGACCACTAAGTGCCTGGCACTGTGTGGGGAGTTAGGTGGGAAAGGACAGGAGCCACAGATGGAGGGAGAGAAATACAGAAGAAGTGTCAGATACAGCTTGGGGCCTAGGGGTTTTCATAGGCCAGAGCAACCCACTGGGGAGTATCAGGAGGCTCCTCATCCCTGTGTGTGGATTTGGAGGATACTGAGTGCTTTAGCCAAAGGTCTTTAGGACTTTGGATGATGATGATGCTGGTGGCACTCAGACTGTTTCACCTTTTTCAGGGATTTGAGAGAATAAAGCAAAAATATGCTGAGTTGAAGGACCAGTTGGGTCGGAGCCCCATGCTGGGGGCTCAGGGCAGCCGGATCCTGAGTGTCAAGACGGAGGCAGAGGAACTGTTTGGGGAGACCATGGAGATGATGGACAGGATGAAAGGTGAGGGGACGGTCCTGGGGCTTGGACTCCTGGGCATCCCAGGAGGCTGGCCCCAACCCAGGGCTTCTGAGGCCCGCCCTTGTCAGAGCTAGCAGTGCTAAGGGACGAGACCAGTAGGGCTTTCCCAAGCATCCAGGAAGTCAGAGGCACAATGATGGGGCGGTTGGGGATGCAGAGATACTTGTAAGACTTGTCCTGCCCTCAAGAGCTTGCAATCCAGATGGGGCCATTTTTCTGGTCACCTGCAAGATGCGTGAAGCTATTTAACAGCACAAGGGGGTCCGTGATAGGAGCCCACATAATAAGCAGTCTGCGGAGAGACATTTCTGTTGGAGAGAAATGCCCAGTGAAGGTGATGTTCAGAAAAGATAAGATTTGACATAGGCCTGGAAGGATGTGTAGGCCTGCGGGGGGAGGCTGTGAGGAAAAGCAGGGACATTAAGACAGGGTGGGTGGGCACGAGAGACGATGGACTCTGAAAAACAAACTGAGGGTTCTAGAGGGGAGGGGGGTGGGAGGATGGGTTAGCCTGGTGATGGGTATTGAGGAGGGCACATTCTGCATGGAGCACAGGGTGTTATGCACAAACAATGAATCATGGAACACTACATCTAAAACTAATGATGTAATGTATGGGGATTAACATAAGAATTAAAAAAAAAAAAGACAGGGTGGGTGGGAAGCAACAAGACATGTTCTGGGGATGGGGGCAGGCGCACCCACCAGGAGAGGAGCGGTGATGAGGATCAAAACGGGTGGGAGACAAGTAGCATTGGGTCACTGTGGCCAGGTCCAGGTGGCTGGTCTCAATGCCAGCATGAGGAGGGTAGGCTTAGCCCTGGAGACAGTAGAGAACCGTCCAAAGGTTTGAATATGGCAGAGACATAAAAAATCGTTTTCAAAAGGGTTCTGAGGTTCTTCAGATGGGAGAACAGGGATTTCCAAGAACTGGGCTCAATCTCTAAGATGTGATGATGGGTCACTGCACTGGTGTGCCCAGTGAATGCCACAAACAGAACTTCTCCGAATTTCAGAGGAAACAGACAAAAATCTGTTTGGTGAGGCAGGTAGACACCATGGGGAAGGTTGGGCAGGCAAGTTGACGACAGGTAGATCGGAGGCTGTGGCCGGCCGTCCCTGAAGGGTGAGCCACTGAGCTGGACGGAGGAGCTGAGGGGCTGGGTCAGTGCACGCCCTGCCCTTGTCCATCGATGTTTTACACAAAGATAAAGAATTTGTTTTTCAAACCTGTGGACAATAGGTTGTTAATACTCTAGGTAACAGAACCAGTTACTCTAAGACCATCTCAGAAGGCTAAAAGGATGGGCTGAAACCAACAGGGTAAAATTAAAGAGAAGTATTATCTTCCACTCTGGGCTTATTTGGGCCTAAACTCACAAGTACAGCTCGGTGAGGCCTGGCTTCTCAGAGGCTAATGTACCTGAAAACACTTTATAACTGCTAAAATGATAAAACGTTTCATAACTGGTGAGTGATAAGCACATATGAATTGTTGGTCACCGAAAAAAACCCAAGGGTTTTGAGTGATGTAAGCTCCATGGAAATTAGCAGGGTCTTGCTACAGCCAAAAGAGCGAATAAATACAAAGCATGCAAAGTAAGAGGAGTAATGGTTCAGGGATATTAAAAATCTTTAGTAACTGGTGTGTCACGCATCTACGAGCCAGAAAAGGCTCAGGCTATAGCAATGGAACAGGCATTTACCTGTCTGCAGGAATTTACCTTTCATTGCAGGATTTTGGGGAAGATCATGCATGGGGGTCCTGGGGATGGGGACCAGGGAACACAACAGCAGCTGCTAAAGTTTCAATATTTGGTCAACCCGCAGGTCCATATGGGTGCCCAGTGGCTGAATGTCAGGCCAGTGACACTGCTGTTACCCTCCGAGGGTGGGATCTCACCTGGCGGATGGTATTCAGTGGTGGCTACTCCCTCCTCAGAAGGGAGACGGACAAGCCTGCACCTATTGCAGGGAGGGTGGCCAGGGTTGGGAGGTAGAGAAGGCTCGATAATTACAGCAGGTGAAGGTGAAGAATGGGTGAAGGAACTAGGGAGATTTAATCTGAGAACGTGTGGCCTCAGACATTTGGAAGACTTCCATGTGGGAGACAGAGCAAATATATTCCCATAGCCTCAGGACCTGAGACAACTGGGTGGAAGCAGAAGTGGTCAGATTCTGGCTTCATGAGAAGACTTTTAACAGCTAGAGCTGCCTAAAGCTGAAGCCTTGTGAGGCAGTGCGCTCCCTCCCTATTCCTAGAAGAGTTCAGGCTGAGGCTGGGTGGCAGCTCTCGTGAGTGTGGTAGAGAGGCCTCTCGCCTAGGGTGACAGGAGGGACAGGCTGGACTAGGTCACTTTGGAGTCCTCCACATTCTCCGCGTGTAATCTCGTGGTGGCATACAGACTGGATCAGAGCGGGGGGACTAGATTTATCTGAAGTGGTAACTGGGGAAGGGAAAGTGCAGAGCAAGTCTGGTCCCCCAGCTGGCTCTCTGGCCATGGTGCCCACTTGAGGATCATCGGTGGGATGGCAGCTGAGTCCGGTAGTCATAGGTTGGTAATCTTTTTTTTTTTTTTTAAGATTTTATTTATTTATTTGAGAGAGGGGTGGGAGTACGAGAGCCGGGTGAAGAGCAGAGGGAGAAGCAGACTCCTCACTGAGCAGGGAGCCTGATGCGGGGCTCCATCCCGGGACGCCGGGATCATGACCTGAGCCAAATGCAGCCGCTTAACCCACTGAGTCACCCAGGTGTCCCGTAGGTTGCTAAGCTTGATGCCGGTGGTTTCCCTCATCAGTCTGGGACACCTGAGAGAGCCTAGAGCAGAGGAGGAGGGTAGGGGCTTCCTAGGTCTGGCTTCTCTTAAGAGTGGGGTACGGGTGGAGAGCCGTGAGGCTGGAGGGAGCTGCCCCAGTGTCCAGCCCTCCCCCCGCCAGGTGATTTCTCCTGCAGGTGCTGCCTCCAGGTCGTGGGAGGAGAAGGAAGGCTGGGGAGTCTTTGGGTATCTCACCAGCTCCTCCTTCTCCCCTTGCTGTCCCATCTGCCCTCAGACATGGAGTCGGAGCTGCTGCGGGGGAGCCAGGCCATCAGGCTTCGCTCGGCAGACCTGACGGGGCTGGAGAAGCACGTGGAGCAGATCCGCAACCACATCAACGGGCGTGTGCTCTACTATGCCACCTGTAAGTGATGCACCAGCCTGTAGCCCCCAGCCCCGCTCATCTGCCCTCTCTACTTTTGGAGGACAGGCTGGGCTGGGCTGCCTTCCGGCTCCAGGAGACTTACACAGCCTAAAGCACAGCCTGGATGGCCCCTGGCGCGCAGCTGTTAAGATTATTCTGGGCTGCAGCTGAGCTGGAGCTGATGGGAAATTACATCTGAGAGACAGAGAGGGTGGAGGCGGGCCGTGTCCTTGTGACGAGGAGCTCTCAAGTGGAGGTGCACTTGGCCGGCCAGCGTCCTTGCCCTTCATCTTCCATGGAGGCTGAATCCTGGAGGGACACCAAAACTTAACAAAAACATGATGTACAAATGAAAAGCCTAATAAAAATCTTTCGAAAGAAGTCTGGAGGTTGAAAGAGAGAAAATGATCCATCTCCCCATTAAGTACACCTTTGTCACTTGTTCCTGTCTCCCACCTGGGGTTCCTGGGTGCTCCTCTGCTCAAGCCCAAGGCCTGGAGGTATGTGAAACATAGGCTGCCCCACTTGGCCCAGTACAGCTTGCTCGTCAACCAAACTTAGGGGGACTGGATCCCTTTGCCCCAGGACCCAAAGGATCCCATCCTTGAGAGACCAGATGATTTCCGTCTTTGAGCAGTGATCCAGTTGCTCATTCACAGATGAGGAAATAGAAATCCAGAGAAGGGAAGTATGGCATCCAAATTCCCACAGCTCCAGAGGCGGACTCTGTGTCTCTTGGGATCTCAAGGAGAAGTTGCAAATGGATGTGCATTTGTGTGGGGGGCAGATACGGAAATGGCGTGAATATCTGTGTGCTAACCACGGCCTGTGCAATGTGCTAGGCATTTTCAAAATTAAAAAAATAATGTTTTAAAGGTTTTATTTATTTACTTGAGAGAGACAGAGACAGAGAAATAAAGCACAAGCAGGTGGAGGGGCAGATCGAGAGGGAGAAACAGACGCCCTGCTGAGCAGAGAGCCCCTCGTGGGACTCGATCCCAGGACCCCAGGATCACGACCTGAGCCGAAGGCAGACGCTTAACGACTGAGCCACCCAGGCGCCCCGTGCTAGGCATTTTATCTACATTTTCTTGATCATTATTAACCATGTTAATTATTGAACGCTGTGCTAGATACATCATCTGCGTTATCTCATGATACAGGTGGTACTGCCGTTCCCATTTGACAAGTGAGGAAGCCAAGGCACAGAAGGCCGTGTTACTCCCCGAAGGTCACAGATGTGGCAGGGCAGAGGGCAGAGGGCAGAGGGCAGAGGGCGGGGCTTCAGATTCACGATCCTCTAGAGCATCTAATGTAGCCATTAGGAGAATGGATGCCGGAGCCTGACTGCTTGGGCTCCAACAGAGCCTACCCCGGGAGCTGTGCGGAGTAAACGAGTCAACAGATGCAACTCGTGTCACTTAGTACCTGGCACACGCTATGCTCTCAGTCTGTGTCAGCCGCCACCCTGCCAGGTTCCTCCTGACCCCAAGGCCCCAGCACACTTTCCATTCCACACAGGCTCAGAAGTCCCAGGGCCACGTCTGACTTTAGGAAGAACGAAAGGAAGCCTCCTAGAGAAAAATATGTCCATTTTATTGAGCACAACACCGAACATGAAGCTGGAGGGGGCGGGGGTACAAGAAAACGAGGGAGGGACAAGAATAATGCCCCTGATTTTCAGGGAGAGAAAGAAGAGCAGAAGCAGGATGAGAATTACCAGCTGAAATGAAAACAGTCAACTTCCAATTTTTACTTAATCCAGTGTGGGTGAGGCATCTGGCCGGGATAAGAATTCCTTACAGTTCCTCCTTGATTTCTTTCTTTTTCATCTGGAAGGCCGTGGTACTGCTGTTGGCCTGGGGCAGGGAGGGAGGTGTGCTGGGCCAGCTGGAGCTAATCGTGGAGTCAAGGATTGGAACTTGAGAGCTCACAGGCAGACCACGGAGCCGCCTGTCATTCATGCAGATGGGCAGGCGACTACATTAATGAGCCCATTCTGGCCACGGGCACCAACGCCTCGAGGCAGGAGCGTGTGCTGAGCGGGAGCCTGGGTCGATGCTCCATATGGCTTTGCTCGGAGAAGGTGACACAGCCTGGCCAGCCCAGGAAGCTTTTCATCACAAACGACACAGACCCGGGTGAGAGCTACCTAGTTCACTGCACAGAGCCACGGCACGTGGGGTGTGGGGGCACAGAGCAGGCAGGTCAGGGAGACCTGGAAGCGGGTGGACACCGCTCCTCTTGCCCACAGCTTCAACGAGGCCTCCGTGCCTTGGGGGCTCGCTCCTGGGCCTTCTGGGAGGGTCTGCCCCAGGCAGTAGCAGCCCAGGGCTTCTCACCGTAAACTCCTGCCAGGCCCTGCTCTGCCCGCTCCGCCTTCCTCCCGCTGCAGGGTGGACGCCAGGATGGGAAGGCAGAGAAGAGTTGCACGTCTCTCCTGCAGAGGAAAGGGGTTCAAGGTGGGGGTGGGCCTACGGCTCCCGGCGCCCCTCAGCCCCGTTCATTTAGCTCTGTGATGGGGCTGGCCTTCTGGGACAGCCCCCTGTCCTGGCCCTCCCACCTCTGTCGCCTCACCTGAAAATTGACACAGGCGTGGGCTCCAGGGATCACATAATGAGACAGACTCCAGTCTGCCCCGCCCGGCAGTGGGAACCGCCACCCGCTTTAACTGGCACCATGACCTCTGATTTGTAGTTCCTGGAAAGCAAATGAGGCGGGGGGCTGTGAAGTGTTTGGGGAAGGGAGAAGAGCTGGGGGGGGGGGCGCTCTCCATGCCTGTGGCCTCCACTCGGCCTCCCCTCTGTCAGGTTCCAAAAGTACAAGCCCTTGCAGAAAGGACGAAGATGACAACGAAGCCCCACTTTTTCCCCCCAAAATACAACGGTTCTGGAAACTCCAGAAATCTAGTGCCCCCCACCCCACTGACATGTACTCGGTTTTCTGCAGGCATTTATAATTCCCGTTGCTTCACTAAACTTTTAAGTAGCTTGGTGAGGTAGGCTGGGCAGGCAGCTATGATCTCACAGATGAGCAAACCAGAAACAGAGACATCGACTGATTGGCCAGTAGCCACACAGTTAGGGATAGGGACAGGACTGGAGGCATTTCCCTTGGCCCCTTGACCCAGAGCTCTTCCCACCCTGCAGGGCCGGCTCCCTTTGGCCACTTTCTTTCAGCCCCGTTGCCTGAGCAGGGTGAGGCCTGTGTGTCTGGCTGAAGATACGTACTGTTTTTTGTTGGCTTTTTTGAGGAGCGTGGGCTCTGAGCAGTAGGAGGACTTCCCTTTGCTCCCGATGCTCAGGCAGCTGGAACAGCAGCTGCAGGGCCCGGCGGCCAGGGCCCCCTGCTGCATGGGCACCAGGCTGCTGCTGATGCGGAGCGAGCCATTGACCAGGCAGTTGAGGGACCTGCCCCCGGGGGGCCGGCAGGGGAGCCGCGCCAGGGCGGGAAGGGCCACGCTCTGGTCCAGGGCCGGGGCCTCGGTGATGGTGATCTCAGAGGGGCTGGGTCTCGAGGCTTCTGAGGCTGGAGTGCTGGGTGGCCTGTTCTCCACCTCCGGACGGAGGCCTGGGCTGTGCAGGTTCATGTGCAGTTTCCTCATGTGGTGGACCACGGCGGCCGCGTTGAAGGCTTGCTGGGAACACACCACACCAGCCTCTGACCCTCTCCATTCTCGGAAGGCCACGGGGCTCAAGCTTTCCCTTTGCCCCGCAGCCTTGGCCTCTTGAAACTGATGTGCCTGCGTCTCACTTCAGAGAGGGTCCAGGGAGGTCCAGTGTGAGCCGGGAAGCCCCGGGGAAAGCCCCTACGCCAGCCCTGCCCCAGCTCAGCCTCCAGGGGCCTGGAACAGCCTGCCTACCCCCTGCAAAGGGCAACTTACCCTCCACTTGCTCTTGGCAAAGTTCTTCTGGATCTGGAGACTGACTGACGGGTAGATGTCCCTGTGGAGGGCTGTGTTTCCATCAATCCTGTGGGTGTAGAAGGGACAACTGGCTCGTGGGGGGCTGTGGGAACTCAGCCCGGGGTTGGGCAGGGGGGCTGTGCATGCAGGTTCAGGTTAGCTGAATGGAGTGCCTCAGAAGAAGGGTGGCCCACGGCAGGAACGGGCTGGAACCAGGGCTCCTCTGTCCCCCTGGGCAGGTCATTATGGGGCCCATGCTTTGGCAAAACCATAGTCTTGCTTTATGGAAGGGTGGCAAACTGTGACCTATGGGCCAAATCTACCCATTGCCTGTTTTCGTAACCGGGTCTCCCTGGGATACAGACACGTCCATTGATTCAGGTATGACCTATGGCTGCTTCATGCTGCAAGGGCAGACTGAGTAGCTGCCCTATAGACAGTATGGCCAGCTAAGCCTAAGATACTTATTTTCTGGCTTCTTCCAGAATAAGCTTTCCAGCCCCTGTGTCAGAGGGTGCTTGGGTTGTCACTATCCTTTAGCTCAAAACTGTCCTCAGAACGTGCTTCCTCCTGGAAGCCTTCCTCAGTGAGGCCACCCGATACAGGCTGCCCTCTTGCTGGTCATCCATCTCTGTGTGTTCCTCAGATACTTGCCACACGGGGCACAGTACTTTCGAGGTACTAGGGACACAGAGAAGTAACGGATGGGACCCTCATCCCTGGGGCTTTCCAGTGGAGCTGTGGAGCCTTGTTCCATGCCATGGACTTGAGTAATTCATGGTAAGCTAATGTGTAATTGCTAATGAGAGGTAAGGAGGTATACCTGGCTTGCAGGACCCAGGGCTTCAGGGCAGGGCAGAAACTGCTCTGGATCCCGAGGGATGCTACATACAAGGCAAGAGGCAAGACATTCTAGGTGGTGAAAATGGTGTGACCCAAGATATAGGCTGGAAAGAGCTTGGGATAGGGAGCAGGGGAGGGCAGGAAGAGAAATACAGCTTTGAGGCCTTTCTGGAACAGAGGAGGCATGTTGGGAATTTGGGGAAATCAAGGTGGAGGTAAAGGGTCAGGCCAGATTAGGGAAAACCTGAAAAGGCGGAGGAAGCTAGGCTTGCTGTGGTAGGAGGTAGGGAGCTGTCGTGAATCTTGAACAGGCGTACAGCATGTAAAAAGTGTTGTAAGATTTATTTACTCACTTTACTGATTGGTTGCTTTGTGATTCTTCACAAATCACCTCACTTAGAACAGGTTTTGACCCCACAGTGAAATGATGCTCTTAAGGACAGGGCAGAGCTGCCCATTCCTGGGTGCTTCTTGGGTAGCTAGTACTGAGTATTGCACCCTAGTACTGATGACAGGGCCTGGCTGAGTCTGTCTCCTGCCCTTGACTAGGAGACACAGCGGCCACTCGTGGGTCAGAACCCACTTCATTCAATGCTGTTTGCATCTCTAGCGGGACCTGATAAACACGTCTGTGCTCCTTGCGTGCTGTAAGAGTAAAGAGCTCAGGGCAAGCAGACTCTGGGGAAACACCACGTGAATGAGTCGTCGTGGTATCTGGGGAACCACAAGGCTAGGGTCCAGAGCCCACCCCGTCCTCACTCACCAGGGGTGCCTCAAGGCCTTCTCGCAGGTGTACCGTTCATTCGGGTCCTTCTCCAGCAGGTGGCAAATAAAATCCTTGGCTAAGGGGAGCAATCAAAGACACAACTAAGGACCAGATTTCAGGACTGCTGGAAATTCACTTCCGGGCTGGTGGGTGGCAGTGAATGCATCTTTAGCTAATCTTCCAAAGAGGCAATTTTAAGAGTCTTAAAAGAGAAAAAAAAAAAAAAAAAAAAAATCCAAACCACCTAACAACAACCCACCATAAACCACCGAAGAGAGGCTCTACGTGGCCTCACCCACACAGCACTGCAGATACAGCTCTTATCCCGAGGCCCCAGTGAGCCTGCACGCCGCGGGTGTGTGCGTGTGCACCAGTCGGGGGCCGACAGCCACCCGTGGGTCCGCGTGAGTGCC